ATTTATGTAAACAGGAATTTATTTGTGCATATCTAAATACATCTTTATATGCACAAACGAAATTCTAGAAGACTATTCCAAACTATTTAGTTACTTCTGAGAAGCAGGATTAGAGGGAAACGAAAGAGTAAAATTCCTTACTTAAAAATACTGGAAAAAAAATGATTTTAAGTTTTTTCCTACCATTCATAGTGATTTCATATGATTCCAATTTAAGGATTTTCTCCTTGAAGAGCTGCTGCTGAACATCACTCTCAAGATCATGCTGCCCTTTTGTGAACCATTCAAAACACATCTGTGGATTAAGGACAAATATTTACTCTGTGACTAAGATCCCATTCTGTCAACTATATATTTCAAATTGGGAAAGTAAAGATAAACTATTTTAATACTTCAAAAGTTCATATTGCCAAAATACCACTCAAAAATGAAATGCTTGGAACTTTGTAACTAAATGAAGCATTATTAGCAATCTGTCTCCTAGATAATGAAAATATATACTCATACTTTTCATTGGATTTTATACTTGGGTTTTTAGCATCAACATTTATTAAGCCTTGCTACATGCGAGGCACTGTGCTAGGCAGTCACATACTCAGTCCTTTCAACAATCCTATTTAGTAGTTAATATTATTCTGTAAAATGAGTCGACAAAGATGAGTTTCACTATTAGAAAACGTCATAGTTGGTGTTTCATTCCTGGTTTAATCTATTTTTGGCTGTTTAATCACAGTTTTAAAAATCTGTCCAAGCACTAATTCTTCTTTAGTGTTTCTGGGGAAATACATCATTATAGGAACTCAAATTTTTCTGTTGGTAACTTAAAATTAGATTCATGCAAAGGAAAAATGTTAAAATATATCTAGAATTTTTAATCTGTATTTGGTTGAATTTGGTATTTTATCCAGAATAGTATCAAAATTATCAAAGAACTCACACATTTATTTTCACCATGAATATACATCATATAAAACATTTTTCAGCACTTACAGTTCCTGGCCCATACTATTTATGCTTATGTAAACTGAGAAGTATTTAGAATTGAAGATGTAAGACACATTAAAAAAAAAAAAGTGAAATATTTAAATATGTCTGCCTTACTTTATCCACAATATCATCTTACCTCTCTATCTAATTCACAAACATCCTGGCCAGTCACGAGACACTCCCATATTTCCTTGGCACGATTCCAACCCAGATACAGAGTAGCTTCTTGCAAGAAAAATGCCAGAAATTTTAGATGTGCCTCTAAATACTGCAAAAAGAAATAGTGCTAATTAGTTAACTCCAGGCATTCATAATTAAAAGCAACATTAAAACAAAATAAAAATTTTAAATTTAAAAAACAGTTTTACTTAATAGTTTTTCAGAAAAGTTAGGCTAAAGTAATGTGAGAAATCTGTTTACAAGTTGACAGTACAATATAATAGAAGCTACTTCAAGTCTGTTACAAATTCAGTTGACTTTAGATGTCAATAAAATATAATTTCAGCAATCTCAAAGTAAAACATCACAAACTCACAACTGGTAAATGAAGATTTTTTTTCTAATTTTTTTTAAAAACAATAATATTACTGATCAATTGATTTTTAAAAATCCATTATCCACAGAATTAACAATTATTTCAGATCGAAGACCAAAAAGAATGTTTTTCCTTTATCATATGAAAGATTAACCCACAAATATAATTTTTCTCAATTTTATTTTAAAATAATAATAGTCAAGATAACAAAATTGTTCCATCACTATAAACATACTTCCTGCCACCTCTTCATAGTTATAACCAACAAATATTATTTTTATAGTTCAAGCATAAGAAGGTCAGATGACTGCCGTAGATCACAAAGCAAGAACACAATGCCTGATACCTCCCGGTAAGTGTATCGGCCATCCACTAGTGTCAAGCCAGTTAAGCCTCCGGGCCCAGCCACCGCTGCTGCAAGTCGATGACAAGCTATCAAACTTCCCGTTACCAATTTCACTATTTCAAAATTTTTCTTCAAGTCTTGAATAATGCTCTTGGCGAAAACAACAAAAAGAAAAGTGGTATGAGAATTTGCAGTAATTCTGTTGGTTTAACATAAGCTGCTATTTTAGGATGTCGTCCTAGGTGAGAGGGAGCAAACACGAGGATTTCCTCATTCGTATTCCCTACATAAAAGTCATAAAATCAGTCTGGTACATATATTTACTAGAAAATTAATAAACTTCTCTACTAATTTTTTACATCTAAAAGAGATTCCATTTTTACAAAAAAGAAAATAACAAAGTCTTTAAAAAGGACTCCTTCACTTCCTACATATTTTTCCAGATTTTTCTTCCTGAACCTATCAAACTGAGGAAGCTCTAGCTCCGTAAGCAAACTAATCTTTTTGCAATGCAAGATAAACTACTGAATTTTTTCAACCCAACTTTTAAAATACCATTATAACTTTAAAGAATTGGCTTATTTCAACAAATTAAGCAAATAAAAAGGAAATGAGTTAGGGAATATATGAAAAAAAAAAGTTCCACAAAAATGAAAGCAGAATGATGTTTAAACTCAAGATTAAATGATATAATGAAGTACTTTGACAGCCATCAAGATGTAAGATAGTGATTATAAACTCAGTAATTTTAGCCATATTTTGTTATTATAAAAGGTTATGCAAGTAATTGTATAATAATCAGTTACTCTTACCTTGTCTTGCTTTTGATAGGTTTGTTTTATAAATGAGCGAGTGATTTCATGGAGCTGACGCAAAGCTGGTACCACCCAGACAAACTGGGGATTATTAAGTTGAGATGACTAGAGTTAAAAAGAAGTCACATCAATTAAATTTAGAAATAAATGGCAGATTCATTTATTAGCTATAAAAAATTTTCAAGTCAATTAGGTTTATTGTTACACATTCTATTATTTTCCTCTTCATATTGCTCATCTATAGCTTATCTCCATGCACTCATAATTCAGTCTTCAGCTTCTTACTCTGCATGCAATCTCCTAAGGCCAAGAACTGCAAACAGGAGTGGATGTGAAGTGACAGTAAATGTACAGGGGTGCGTCAGCAAAAAACAGACAACAGGGAATTAGCAACTTCAGAGGATAGATTAAGTAGCATAGGCTGCTAAGACATGTTGGCATGACGAAATAAATTGATGGCAAAAGCATAACTTGGATAATACTGAACTGGCTGGTAAGTAAAATGGAATAGAATATGGCTTTCTGTAAGTATGTGATTAAGATACCGATGATAAGATCACGACACTGATCTAAATGTTAAAGAAAATATTCATGATCTGTTTGTATTTCCTAGTTAAAATAATTTCATCAGAGGTTAATTCTATTTTTATTATTACAGATACTTTACACTTACACTGTACATTTTTCAAAACGAATATATTATTTCTGAAACTGACATGACAATCCAGATCTTCACAGTATAGATATAAAAAGTCTGATGTTCATGTAAGACTCTTTAAAAAGAGAATTGCTTTTTAATAAATAACATCTTAAGAACTTTGAAATTTTGTAATAAAATTTGGTAAGAATACCAGATTAAACATTATTACTCAACTGATCAATTATTAAATCTCTAACCAAAAAGCTTATAAGTATTTATTTTAAAGGCTGAATTTTTTATTTTAAAGCCTTCTTGTTTTACTGAGTCTTAGTGTAAGATGAAGGCCCCTGTGGGGAAGAAAAATACTTTTGATGTCTTCTGTAGAAAAAGATCTCACTACTGGATGTGTAAATTTGAGCAAGCTATTGCCAAAACAATATAGTTTTCCTTGCCTCATACAGATTAGCCAATCAATCAGCAAGTACCGTATTTCCTGGATTCTAAGACACAGGTTTTATAAATTTTAACATTTCTGAAATTGATGTTTCTCACAATTATGTCAAAAGAAACTCACCAGCCACTAGGCATAGGAGTAAGTTTTGATATAGCTGTCCTTACCGGAGTCTGTATTAACACAAATTTAGCTGTATACAAAAAGCAGATGCTCATCTACCTGTCATTTTAGTTGTTACTTGGTATAGGCATCAAACAATGACTTTTGATTGAATTTAAATTGGGATCACTAATGTCTTACTTGGATGTTTTTGGATAGATCGCACTATGATGCAGCATTGACTGGTCTGTCATGTCCATCAGTGCAATTAAAAGCAAAGAAAACCATCAGTGGTCTCAGACTAAAGAATTTTCCAAAGCCAGGAGAAGTTGGTGTAACAGACTCATACCCTGTGAAGGGCTGTATCACTCTGCACTAAATGTCTCTCTGTCCTAAGTCGCACCTTAATTCAAGAGAAGCTGTTTAACTTGCAGTATACATAATTAAATTAAGGAATAAAACAACTCGGGTTTTACAAAAGAGGATAAGCACACAAAACTCCACATTCCTCAACATGTCTCAAAATTATACAGCCAATCTTAAAGATTTGAGAGCGGTCCAAAGCACTACTAGACATACTGCAAGCAGTGTGCCATGGTGAAGCTGTACATAACTGGTCAAAAGGAGGCTTGGACTCAGCCTCTGACTGTGAATCTAAACTGATGGTCAGTAAAAGCAAATTGTACTGTTCCTTTTTTTCTACTCTGAAAACTTATTAAATCTGCAATGCATCTTAGAATCACAGAAATAAGGTATGTTAAAGGCCAACTACTTGTGAGACTATTTCTGCTACACTATAACAGTTGCAAAATGACAATAATCAAAACTGTAAGGTTGACGTCTAATCTGATACTTTCTAAAAGGATTACAAAAATTAGAATATAAATATGGACCCTTCAGCAATAAGTAGATATACTTTAAAAAGTACCATTATGACCAATTAAGTCAATTATGGTTAGAATGCTTTTATTTAACACTGAAAATTATCCTTTGAAGGTAACTTATTATACAATAAAATGAAAATAAAATTGTATGAAATTGAAATTTAAGAGTTATTTCTGATATGGCCTTTCTAAAGTGTAGCAAACAGGAAAGATGTTATTTATTCCATCTTGTCTATGACATTATATCGCTAAGTTATAAGAAAATTTTACATTACTCTTCTTTAATTACAAAAGGGGCAAAAGACTGGTGAACAATCAAAATGAAGATATATTGATAATGTCACGGAGTTGAGGTTTCATAAACAGGAGTTAATGGGATGTCCAAGCTAGACTCTTAAAGTTAGATGAAGCCTTAGAGGTCAATGGGTTTAGCCTGCAAACTTATGCCTAAATTCTCTTTATTCATTTTTTATTGAATGACTGACTGCTCTGTCTTCCCAGTGATGAGGAACTCACTACCTCAGAAGGCAGTGCAATTCTGTTTTCAGACTGTTCTCAACAGAAAGTTCGCTGACACTTAAACATGCCTCTGCATAACTTCTTAGGAGACATAAAAGGTAAGCTGAATCAAACTTCTCTATAACAATCCTCTAAGGATCTGAAGAAAGCTTTCATGTTCTTTCTTGAGTTCTCTGTTCTTGAAGATGAACATCCCCATTTCTCTCTCTGCCTTGTTTTTCCAGACCTAGCCATTTATCCAAATGAACCAAAGCAAAAATTTTTGCGTGGGAGGAAAATTTTTTAAAGTATTTCCTCCTGTACTAACCACATCACCAGGAGAGTACTTGTACTGAGGACCTCTTGCTGCTTTTACTTTCTGTTACATGCTTTGGCAAGTAGAGGCGAATCAACTATGTGTGAGTGAGGCTTCTGCACAGGGTCCTCACAAGGTAGAGGGGAAGAAGTGAGAGGAAGGGAACCAACACTTACTGAAAGCCTGCCAGGCACTGTGCTAGGAGCCTGAAGATACGACTCAAGGAATGTGCAGATACTACTAATTGAGTAAAAATGAGTTTTTTTTGGTTTAGTAATTTTTTTTGGACAAGTACATTTAAACTTTTTAATTGAAGGAAAAAAAGAAGTGAAATAAGAGGGAAAGGGTTGGGGCAGACAGTGGACGGTATAAAGGAAGCAAAGGAAAGAGGATCATGGGAGCCGAGGGTAACCTGGCAGAATCTAAAGAAACAAAGTTAAGAAATAAAGGCTGGAATTTCTGAACACAACAGTGGGACTTGGGAATTTTAAGAGTGTCAGAAGCAGAGGGAAGGGGAATCAGTTGGGGAATACAGGTAGCTGAGGGTGGGAGGGGAGTAAGAGGTGGGTGAGCTTGTCTTACCCTTTGCTTAGTTTCTGTGTAGCCTGGCAGGGAGACATAATCCCCAGTCAGCCCACCTTGCTGCCTGGCAGGAAAGGGCATAGCATAGAAAAACACCTTTAGTGGCAGTAAATAATTCACCCCCCTGCCGGAGCCATATCCAGGGGGCTTTGCTCTTCCCACTGCCCCCCTTCAGCAACGTGCACTTTTAAGAGAGTGTCCGTGAAAGCACTCAGTAAACTAAAAAGTGCCATGTAAAAATGCAAGATGTTACTGTTTGGAGTGAAATAATGGCACACCAGAATTTCTTAACTGGGAGCAGTGGGGAACTAAAAAAGGGAGAATATTCCTTTCAAGTCTCACAAAATAACTTCAAAAATTGTCCTGTTACTTTTTTGGGTTTTATTATAAAACCACAGACATGAATGCAGTGACTGCAAAGAGAGGCAATAAGATGCAGCGATGTAACTGACTAAGGGAGCTACGTAACGTGTAGCTGCAACAAGGAAGGACTAATTAACAGTCAGGAAGGATTTTTCCAGTTTCAAAAGCCATATCCCTGGAGGGAGGGAAAAGTCCCTTCAGCTTTGACCTTCATCTCAAAGAAATGTGTCTGTTGTTGAGAAGAAATGACTATTTTTCTATAGCTACCCTTTTCCTCCTACTATTACTATTGAAGGATACAAACTTCAGTAACCCTGGATGAATTTCAATAAGGAGAGGTTGCTAAATTATCTGAATTGCTGAGCTGAGAAAACTGGAAAAATTCAAATTGCATCTGAGTAGAAAGAAATTTTGTTGAATTAACAGAATAATTCCTCGTAACCCGAGCATTACCAACTCCAGTTTGCGAATGCCTTTTAAAATCTCTAAAGCTAGATTATACGTAGAAAAGTTACTTGATCAAATTTCAACATCAGAAATATAAAACACAAAGTTCTTAAATGCCCCCAACTAAACTTTATGACCAAATATGACTTAAGAGAATAAAAGCCCGTTAAGTCACCAAAGCCTCTTAACAAGAGCTGAGAGTCTATGACTATACCAATGAAAATTAGTTAGCAGTATTTTACTTTAATGATCCTTTAAAGAAATACTTATCAATGAAAGACAATTTACCAATGAAATTACTAAGACACTAGCTATTTTACCAATAAGTTTTTTTATGTTAATAATAAAATGAAATGCAGAAAATGAAATCCCTCCCGCTGCCAGACTTTCAGTTTGGTCTGGGCAATCCGATGGCCTGAGTGAGAGGACAGTGCTGCTCCGATCAGGGCTACTGCAACCACAGAAGCACTTCCACTGAGCCGGCCACTGAGACCACCCCTCCCAGAAGAGAGACCTGAGGTGTAAGGACCAGAGTGACAGGAGAGCTATAATCATCACTGCTTTCTCTGCTAACCATCACTTCCAAGGACAGTCTATAAGTTCACCGTAGCCTGGAGGCCAGAGTCCTGAAGGGAAGCGCCTGCCTCTGCAGCCCAGGTCCCTCTTGCAGTGACTAGCCAAGCCTGCCTTCTTAAATCGAGCCCCAGCAACAGGCACTCACTCGATGGCTGTTTGCCTAAGCAATCACTTTATGCACATATCTGAATGAAGAACCTGAAAACTGCTATGTGCCAGCACTGAATGAAACCCCCTTGCGTCCCCGTCCTTCTCTTATTCTATGAATGTTCCTCCATTTCTCCCTCATGGGAGAAAAATAGGTACAATATTTATTTAGAATCCATTGTACTTTTAAAACTTGTGCATATTTTAGATTTAGTTTTTAAAAACTAAGGTGAAAGTCTTATAATTTGAAGAAAATTATATAATAAAACTACTCTTTGAATATGACTCTGGATTTTTTTCTCCTTAACAGTCAGTAACTACCCAAGCTTTAAATAATAAAGCAGAGGATACAAATGAATATAATGAATATTTAAACATCAAGTTTGAATATGAACATTACTTTAAGAAACACTATTAAAATTGTGATGCAATTTATTAAAGGAAATTATTAAATTAGTATACCTTTTAGTTGGTTCCATCTGCAAATTCTTACCTTGAATCCATCCTTCTTGTTTTTTTCCAAACTTGACCATTCCCCAGGCTGAAAGTTCGTTTGAAGAGACATATGAGTGACTTGGTAAAAGCAATACCTATAATTTCCCAATCTTGGACTCTAAGTGCTTCCAGATAGGACATTTAGCTTAATTTATATAATAGGAGAGGAAAATTACTTGGCTCTAATTACTTAGGCTACACTGCTGCTCTGACAACAAAATGAGACCAAAGATAAACTGACCCTTTTAATGTCTTCTATGCACTTAATGATGTAGCTCCTCTTGATTGCTTCCTTCACAGCGTACGCGTCACTGAGGATTGTCAGGTGCTCCTCCAAGGCTTGCTGAATAAGGCTACTGGGCAGCGTTGGAAGATGAGCCAGTTCCCAGAGTACATCTAACACCTACAATAATATCACATATGGTGAGCCAGCCAATATGCAAACAAAACTGCGTTGAGCATCTGTAGCTAGAAAAATCCATTTGATTCTCCTGCCTTTCCAGAAGTGGTCTCAAAGCGAGCTTCCCGGCCTATTCGTCCAATCAGGCTCAACAGCTTCTGTCTTACTCTGTCACTCTCAGTCTCCCAGCTCTGCAGGGAGAAAAGACAAGACACAGGAACTGCTTCATAATCAAACTGGAAAAATATGCAACAACTTTACATTTGAGCTAAAAAAATTTAATAAAGAAAAGTACATTTAAACACTGCTATTTGGGGAGGACCTCAAAAGAGCTTACTATACGAAAATTTAAAAGTAAGCAAGTTTGACTGAACACATACCTTCTGAATGAGAACAAACAAATGATTGAGCTGATCTGAATTAAATTTCACAGCTGCTGCAGCAATAATAGTATGAATGTTCTCGATCACGGTAGATGATTGTCCGGACTAGAAAAGAGGACATTGGAAAAAAATTAAGTCTTGGAACTTGGTCAAACCTAAATCTTTCGCCTGGCAATTTATAGAGGCAAAAGCAAAGATATAACAAAGATAAATTGATTCTGGTCTAATGAGCATTCACTTGCACGATAATATTGACAAGACTTACATGAAGCAACCATTATTGATGGTCATCAGCTGGCCTTATTTAAATTCCAAGTAGCACTAATTTTTTAAAAGGCAAATGTAAAAAAAAGATGAGAATCAAGTTCTCAATATGACATATTCACTTCAAGAGGAGAACAAAATATTTTCAACTAGCTAAAAAATTCAAACTAATTAAATTATGAGACAAGTGTACTCGCTTTTGGCATTTTATAAATAATCCTGAGGGCTTCAGCTGATAGTATTATCTGTCTCATTTTTAAATTCTGCTCATAGATATTTTGTGACTTCAATTAGTATTTATTTATCCCATAGGCAGTTAAGTCTCTGTTTCGGAGCTATAGACCCAACTGTAGACCTTATGGTTGAAACTCACTTAATAACCTCAATCATGTCACCATCATGCCTCATTGTTCATCATATGAGAGACTTGAAAGGCAGGGGGACATTGTTAGATTCAATTCTTTAAGAATTTTCTCAGTATCTACTGTGCACATAGAGATGTTCATTGAATGTAGTGAGGATATACGACACATACATCACAGTCTCAAATCTTCAACCTTATATGGATTCAAAACTTATACTCACAAAGCAAAATTATATGAGGATATTCTACTAAGGCCAAGACATGTGAAGTACAATCTTTGGGACCTCGGACTGTTTTCTTTTACTCCTGCACTGAACTTTCTCTAGTCTGTTCTGCAGTGCTGGGCTGGGTGCCTGCGATCTACAGCTTCCACACTTCTTCCTGCTATGTTCTGCCAATGACAGGCAGTGCTGGGGGACGAGAGACAGGAGGAAAGAAGGAAGGCGTGTTTCTGGTTTGGGTTCAGAGGGCAAATGCAGCAAGGGATTCCAGAAGCCTCGGTGGTAACAGCACCAGCACTTGAAGCGAAAGCACCTGCAAAAGCAGCTTCCTTTCCTAGGACTTAATACCCCTTCTTCCTTTTCGTTCCTCCAGCATTCACTCTTTTCAATTTTCTTTGCTTCTCCATCTCGGCAACACCTTTGTAAGCAATCCCCTGTAGTCACTTCCCTGTTTGAAATACCTAGCATAGTTTCTGTTTCCTGACTGGATTCTGACTGACACAGTGACTAAGTTGACACAGTGGAGCCGAGCTTCAGGTTTTTCTTTGGCTTAGTCACGAAGGATAATACTGCTATGAAACAGACTGGAGAATGACTACATTTGGACACAATGAATTTGAGATGCCAATGAGCTACACACATGAAGGTATAATAGTTACATATTTAGATATATTGCATGGAGCTCTAAAAAGAGGTCTGAATTAGAGATATAATTCACAGTCAGCTGTATACAAATATAGTCAAAGCCACAGGAGTAGATGAAACTGACTAATGAAAGCTCATATAGTAAGAAAAGGGGGCAAAGGACTGAGACTTGAAAAAAACTAATATTTAAAGGCAAAGTGGAAGAGAATAAATTAGGAAAGGAGACTAAAGAAGGAATGCCAGCAAAGTGTGAGGAAGATCAGTAGAAAGAACTATGCCCAAAGCAAAGGAAAAAGAAAATGCAAAGTATGTTGGATCTGTCACACCTGCTGAGAATCCTGGTAAGATGAGATCTACAAACTCATCTATTATCTTTATTTCATAGTATTAAATGGAGAAAAACTGTTAATGAAAATTAATAAACAAAAGAATGAAAAGAACACTGGACTGATAAACAAAGACATATACCTATTCCTAGCTCTGCCACTAACTGCTATATAACCTTTGGGAAGGCTTTTCATTTTTTAATTGAAAAATGGGAAGACTAGACTAGATCAGTACTTTGACACTTCTTGTGGGTAGTGGAACCCTTTTTATATAAGCAATCTTAATGAAAACCCAAAACTGTAAAATGGATTAGGTATGGCTGCTCTGGTTAAAGCAAGATAAGGTCCCATTTTCCCTGCCCACTCACCACCCTCCTCCCTCTCCTATAGTTTAAAAATGACAGGAAACGGCAAAAATAATTCTGATCAATTTACCTGTATCTTCCAAATTTTAGTGAGCTCATCCAAAGACAGTTTACTACCCAAGAGTTCAATAATTCCCTTTATACGATCACAGTATTGTGCTTGGTCGATGTTACCTAATAGAAGAAACACCAGAAAGGAAGCCACATACAGTGAACACTGACTCTCTAAATAGTAATTCAAATTAATTCAAAACAACAGTAACTTGCTATAAGATTATTTAAAGGCTGATACAGTCAAAACTATAATTCTGTACCCTTTTTTATACAAAAATGTATTATTTAAATTATGTATTAGGTAATTTTTTGAAAGCAACTTACCTTCCAATGCAATTGATAGAACTGAGTTTTCAACTAGCCAATCTAATAATCTGTCTGTATCTATTGCATTCTTCACAGATTTGGATAAAGTGCTATCTTCTATTAGTTTGGTTACCTAAAAAGACAGGATTATTGTGACTAAATCTAATATACATTATCAAAATCTTCATATATAATCTGTAATTTTTGTGGTGTTACAATGTGGTCTGATAATTAGCACGAATACATCAAAGGCCAGTTATAGAAATTAACGGACTACTATTTGAGATGTCTCTTTAAAAAGGACACGGAACCATTCTTGCAGCTCTCACTTCCTGGACTACTGCTGATTGGCTAGGAATGAACATCTAACTCAAATCTCAATCAGGGCACTTCCTCCATCCTTTATACTGGGGAAGTATACAGAAAGAAAGTGTCAGAAAGACACTTTATATACAGAAAGGAAGCATCAGTCCCCCTCTGGTGATGGGAATCACAGGATGCGAAACTCTCCATGGACACACTCTCCACCATATGACATACTCCATGTAGAGAGAATGAGGCCAACATGCTCAGAGAAGCAGAGACAAGACTTGGACAGAGTCCTGGCAGTGATCAGGTCTCAAATTCTAGTTGTTCCTGTTTCCTGCATGTATCATTGTCCCTTCTTGGTTTGGCTGTTCAATCCTTCATTCAAATGAAGGATTAATATGAAATAGCCCAGCATCCTTTCAATAAATTCCTCCTTTGGCCTAAGACGGTTCAGGATGAGTTTATTTCACTTGCACTCAAGAATCCTAACTATTACAAAACCGAAGGGAAAATACCTGAAATGATAACAACTGTATTGGCTCCATTTGTCACTCACCAAAACCAACTGTGCTGTTTCTGTGCATATGATACAAATTTAGGAAGCTACAGAAAATTTATTTCCATCATTTTGCTTAGACCAACACAACTGTAGTCATTTTGTTTTTGTCCCAACCCCAGTTAGAAGATTTGTTTTAAGTAAACCCATATCTGAAATAAAAGGAATTGTACCCTTAGAGTAAAAAGTAAATCTCAGACTATATGTTCTAAGGGATTACATTCTAGGAAATTTCATAAAAACACTAAATATTTCGGAAAATGAATTTTGAAAGTAATACATATAAGAAGGTGGCTTTACTAACAATTATAAACACATACACCATTTTATATAATTATCTCTTTTTTATAGGACAAGAAATTCTTATTTCTCAACATTTTTATATTAATAACCACAAATTTTGGTAGAACTTAGTGTCTGTGCTTAAGTCTTGTAGAAACAAACGCAAAACTTACTTCTTTGAGGGAATTCATTTTAGCACTAAAATGTGGTGATTTCAGCATGCGCAGTAGGATGTCTAGTCGAAGGTCATCCACAATTGTCACCAGATCCGGTTGGAAGCGCATGCAAAGTAACTTAATGGCAGACAAGAGCTCAGGGATGCTAACCAACCTCTTTTATTTAATCAAAACAAAAACACAAAAAAGGAGCTGTAAAAACATTTTTATCCCATTCTTACAACACACACAAGAACATAGGGTAACAATGGTCTGGTGGTATCTGATATTCTACACGGCCAATTAGATACATTTCACTTCTAAATAAAAGTGCCTGAGTGAGCAGCAAAGGAAGGGGAATGGTCCTGTGAGAAATTCAAGGCAAAAATAAATAAATAAATAGATAGATAGATAGATAAATAAATAAATAAATCATGTTAAATTTAAATGTTAAAACTGCTTTAAATAACGTTGGGGTAAATTTTAATACTGTATTCTTTTAAAGCTTTTATTCCA